ACTGGCCGTTTTGAAAGAACTCCAAGGCTGCCTCCGTAAGAAGTGGTCCCACCGTTGACCATGCCGCCTTAAAAAAGAGGGCTGTGTACCTATCCGGCCCCGGTGCTTTATCATCCGCGATGTCAAAAAGAGCTTCCCGTATCTCCACCCCCGTCACCGGTTGAATCAGCCTCTCCTGATCTTCCTCACCTAGCATCGGTCCCGTGGAAATAACGTGGGGGTCAGCCGGTTCGCACGTAGTTCGCGTGCCCAAGAAATTTCGGTAGAAGGTCTCAAAAAATCCAAGTACCTCATCCCTTGAGGTCGTAAACGAACCATCCTCCTTACGAATCGCTACAATATCATTCCGTTTTGCATTCCGCTTAGCAATCCCATGGAAAAATTTCGTCGTGCGATTCGAATCTCGTAAGTGGTGAAGTTTCGCCTTTTGGTAGAAAAAGCTCTTCTCCGCTTTTGCCAAGAAGCGAAATTTCTCCACTTTGGCCAACATCTCCCCACACAGTTGTTGATTATGGGGGTCGTTGTGGTAGATTTGCTGAATTTCCTTGAGCTCTCCTCCAGCACGTTTCACCCGTTCCGATATATGCCCGAATTCACGCCTATTGAAATTCTTTAGAGGGTGCTTAAGGGCCTTGAGGTTTTTGCACACGGCCCATTGACGGCTGCCCCGGTAACTTGCCGTTCATACCTCTTTTACTTCTCGTTGAAAATCGTCGTGCTGGGTCCACATGTTGAAGAAACGAAAAGGCCGAGATGCCGGGGGTACGGTCCCACCCAATCGCACTATGACCGGAGAGTTGTCCGACACCGCCCCAAACGGTAGGAATTGTGCCGAACTGCCCTCAAAATCGTCGCGCCACGTTTGATTGACAAGCGCACGATCAAGTTTGCTCCACACTGTATGGTTCGTCCACGTAAACTGAAAGCCTGTTGAGGGTAAATCCTCGAGTCCGCTTTGTCGAAAACACGTCTGAATATCATTCAACAGGTAGGGAGTGAGCAGATTCTCCCCCGATTTCTCTTCGGGCTTAAGGACCACATTCAAATCGCCCATGCACAGCCACGGCTCGGTGATGCTCGCCCCAAATTCCACTAGCGATTGCCACAACGGTTGTCTCGTAACCGGTGTGAACAGTCCATAAGCAAAAGTAACGTAGCATAGCCATTGGGTG